ACAATAGAATACATAGGAAATTAGATGAAGTCATAAGTAATACACAAATGGGATTCAGGAAAGGACTGGGAATCCGAGATGCAGTGTTTGCAGTAAGTGTTCTTTCGCAAAGATGCTTAGATATAAATCAGGAAGTATATGCCTGTTTCATTGATTTTGAGAAGGCATTTGACAGTGCAGCATAATCGGCTTAAAGAAATTTTATTAAATAAAAACATAGACAGTAGTGACATTAGAATCATATGTAACCTCTATTAGAACCAAACAACAAAAGTGAAAGTTGAAAATGAACTGACAGGATATCCAGATTCGCCGTGGGGTCCGCCAAAGGTATATTTTATCACCCTTGTTATTCAATTTATATTATAATGAAGCCATCTCAGAATTAGCGCTTGCCGAGGTCAGTGAGGGCGTTATAATAAACGGTGAACCACTTAATAACATAAGATATGCTGACGACACCGTCCTTCTGGCAGGAACACTAGAAGAACTGCAATACCTTGCTGAACAGCTAAATATATATTGCAACGAATATGGACTAAAAATAAATTCGAAGAAAACCAAGTTCATGGTATTTACAAATGCAGAAAATATCAAAGTTAAGCTAGTACTAGATAATAAAGAAATTGAACAATTATCTTCGTACAAATATCTTGGAGCATGGATCACAGAAGATACTGATCAGACAAAAGAAATAAGATGCCGCATTGAAATTGCACGGTCAACTTTTAATAGAATGAGAAAACTTTTTTGTAATCGCGATATCAATATGTCGCTCCGGATAAGAATGCTTCGATGTTATATTTTCTCTACTGTTTTTTATGGGGTTGAAGATTGGACACTTAAAAAATTCAACATTAAAAACCTAGAAGCATTCGAAATGTGGTGTTACCGAGGTATTTTGAAAATATCATGGATGGATCGCAAAACAAACGAACAAGTTCTCGAACAACTAGGAAAACAATGCGAAGTTTTAAATTCCATAAAAATCGGGAAATTGGAATACTTGGGGCACAACATGATAGGTGAAAAATACGAACTACTAAGGAGTACAATGCAGGGTAAAATCAAAAGCAGAAGAAGCGTAGGAAGAAGTAAAATCTCGTGGCTACGCAATCTCCGTGAATGGTTTGGATGCAGTTCAATTGAACTATTCAGGCGCGTAACCAACAAAATTATAAATGCCAGAATGATTTCCAATCTCCGATAGAAGCGGAATTTGAAGAAGAAGGCAGCAGCGGAAGAAGAAGAAGAGTAAAGTGATGATGATGATCACAACATGCGAATTACAAAAGAAGACAACAGGGAGCGCCTTTGTAACTTAAAAAACAAACAAAAAATTCCCGATGGAATACCAAGTAATAATCTCTTAAAATACGTTGAAGAAATGATAATTGAAAACGTTTGTAGCAAATTTTAAATACCAAGCATATTTCAAACCAGTGGAGGAAAAACATTACAATACCAATGCTTTAGGAAGACGAAATATTAAAAATCAACACAACTCTTAAACTGCTTACAAAGATATTTGCCAATAAACGAGTATTTCGACAAAATAGATCAACTACAAATATTATATTCATAGTTAGACAAAAACTTACTGCGATACGTGCTTTGAAAATGTGGTATTCAATAAAAGCACTTATCCACGACCTGCTTTGAGACATGCGTTCGGAAATATCTATTAAATTGCCGGGAATTTCTTTACAAAGAGGGTTTCCTTTGCTAAATAAAATTACCCTTATTTACTCAATTTAATTAATAGGGTAAGGTCAATGTGGACCATACACTACGCAGTAAGGGCTAGCGGGCGTTTCATCAGTATTTAGAGTAGAAATTATCATATAAAGCGGCAATACATTTAACAGTATAACGTCATTTACAAAAAGAAAGAGATAGACCATTGCGTTTTCTTTGATATGTAGAACAGGATATTTAAATAATGGAAACTGGGTCCAAATGACAATTTTCATGATACCTATATATTAAATAAAGAGTACTAAATTGAGAAGATCATTTACTTTTAAATAAAGTTTGATGTTGAGATTGGGCTATCAGTCGCAACATTGGAAAGGAGAGAAATAAATTAAAACTTGAACAATTTATTCTCTTTTAAAGTATACAGGGTGTTTCAAAAAAAGGTAACCCCGTCTCTAGGGTAGGTTTGCTTAGTATACAATTTTTGTAACGCCATCCGTTTTCAAGATACAGGGCGTTGAAGAAAAAAAATTTACGCATTTTTTACGAATTTTGCCGAAACTACTGGCAACATTGTAATGAAATTTTATACGAATATGTTTTGGAAGCTGACACATCCCATGAGTTTGTGTTTATATCTGATTCTCATAGAGGGCGCTAGTTACACGGATTGTACTAAGTATTAGTCAATATAAGTTTTTTAAGAGTATAATTATTAATCAAAATTTCAGTAAACTTAAACATCATTCAATTTTACACGAAAAAGGTACTCCTGGTAAAACTCGATACTGTGTACCGTTTTCGGAATATTTTGATTTGAAAATTATGAAGTAATAATTGATGCTGGTATAAAATAGTTAGTAATTAAACAAAACTCACAAGAAGAAAATTAAATTAATGACTAAGAACATAAAATAAAGTTCAATTACACTAAGTGTTCAAAATGCCCTCCGTTTTCGCGAATACACAAGTCTATTCTTTTTTCTAAAGATTCCATTAACCTTCTTAACGGTAGAGGATCAGATATAATGTCATTAAATTGACGTTGAATTCTTTTTTCCAATTCTTGGCGTGAATTTACCTCTGTAGCAGAGACTTTTCCCTTAATATACGACCAAACTGCGTAGTCCAAAGGGTTCAAATCGCATGACCGAGGAGGCCAATGAATCGGAGCTTCTGCACCTCTACCAATCCATCGATTCGGAAAACGAGTACTCAACCAATTACGACACCTTCTATCAAAGTGTGGTGGAGCTCCATCGTGCATAAAAAATAAAGATATTCGCTCGTTTAGCGTTAAATCTTTTTATATCTCGAATAAGGAATTGTTTAAAAAATCAAGATACATATCACCGTTTAAATTTGCAAGTAGAATATGATAACCTATTAATTTGTTATCTAAAGTTGCTGCCCAAACATTAACATTAAATGAGTGTTGGTAATGTGATACCCGTTTGACTCGTGGATTCTCATCACACCAGTAGTGTGCATTATGGGAGTTAAACATATTTTGTCGCGTAAAGGTGGCCTCGTCCGTAAAAAGAATGCATTTTAAAAAATTTGGATTGTGGACTGTCCTTTGTTGCAATGTTTCACAAAAATCCACTCTAACCGGTAGATCATCTGGCAAGAGCTCTTGGACTTGTCTGTAATGATAAGGATGTAATTGCTGTTCTTTCAGTATCCGCCAAGTACTTGAAGAAGAAGTATTTGTTTGTCTTGCTATATTCCTTACGCTAACTGTTGGATCTTGATCAAGAAAATTTAAAATATTATGTTCTTTATTAATTGTTCTTGTTGCTCTTGATCTACCAGAATTTATTTTATTTGGTCTGACATTCCCAGTTTCTCGACAACGTCGTTCAACGGCTCTAAATGTTTTTTTACTTGGTAAATTTCGTCTAGGAAACTTTTCTGCATAACGTGTCACAGCTGCACTAGAACATCCTAAACATTCGCCTAAAGTTAATAACATGTCAGTGTATTCAACATTTGAGTACATTTTGATTTGATTTTACAAATAACAAGGTTTCAAAACTCTAATTATAGTTGATTTATCGTCATAACAATCAGTAAATGTCAGATTTCCATGGCACACTTGGAGAAAATAGAGGTATACCTATTAGAACTTTATCATTACTACCAGCATCAATTATTACTTCAGATCAAAATATTCCGAAAACGGTACACAGTATCGAGTTTTACCAAGAGTACCTTTTTCGTGTAAAATTGAATGATGTTTAAGTTTACTTGAAATTTTGATTAATAATTATTGTTTAGTAATTAAACTTGAGAAGTGACTGGTTTAAATTATATTGAATAAATAATTATAACGAAAAAATGCGATATTGTTGATACATAAAATTGGTGAAAATAGCAAATATAAATTGTAAAAGTAGAAATAAATTAGAAATAAACTGGTTTACTCATTATCAATGTTTTATACAAGAATAGACTTACCCTTTGGTTCTATTGATGAATTCGTACCAAGCTGTAGAGTTGGTCACTGGGCATGAGGAGTTGGTCGTGATACCGACGCTAGCGTCGCCGTCCCGAGGCTTAGCAAGAGAACCGTCCGGAACTAGATGCGTGTCGATCGTTGTCTGACGAAGAAGTGGCAAAAAGTCCGTCTTGAGATCGCTACCAGGGCAAAACAGCCCTCTGATCGTTGGGTGGTCAACAGATGCAAGTGCCATAAATCAACCACTTGTTTCAATCTTTTTTGACATAGAATACAAAGAAAAAGCCCAATTCTGCGTACGTTAACATGATAAATGAGAGCCAGTTTAAGTTTTACGAACTCACAGGAAATAATATATTTCAAAAAGGTCTTTTAAAATACAGCACCAAATTAGATCACATTACAGTACCGTAACAGAAAAAATATTAACTATAAAATTATGAAATGAATTCGCGCATACTTTCTCAAACAATTATACTCTTAAAAAAGTTATATTGACTAATATTTAGTACGATCCGTGTAACTAGCGCCCTCTATGAGAATCAGATATAAAAACAAATTCATGGGATGTATCAGCTTCCTAAACATATTCGTATAAAATTTCATTACAATGTTGCCAGTAGTTTCGGCAAAATCGTAAAAAATGCGTAGAATTTTTTTTCTGCCTGTACCTTGAAAACGGATAGCGTTACAAAAATTTTTTACTAAGCAAACCCCAATTATTTTTCAGTTTTTTACCTACCCTAGAGACGGGGTTACCTTTTTTTGAAACACCCTGTATATAGTTAAGTAGTCATTTTCAGTAGTAGTAATTATCACCAAATATTTACTTGTTTTTTAGAAACCAACCGACTTTAACATCTGAGCCACCTCCCCTTATAGGCGACGACCGAAAAGTAAAACTCGAAGGTGAAGCCTTTCTAGAATTAAAAAGAATGCTACGGGAAAAGACACAAAAACTAAGGAACCTCCCCATAGTTAGGCTTCGAGAGCTAGGAGAAAACGCCAGTTTGAAGGTGGAACTGGACGATAGAATACCGTTGTTCTTGTCGGATCTCCAACACCTTATTATGTATTCCCAGATAGGCGTCCACGCCCCTTATATGCCGAGTAGATGGTGTGCGTTGGAAAAGTACAGCAAGCTCGAAAATACCAATTTAATAATAATAGAAAATGCGTCACTTTACCATTATATGGCGTATGAATCTATGTTTCCTTTTCTGAGTTCGACCTTTGAACATAAACTTGAAATGATCACTCCTGGTTCATATAATAGTGATATTGTTAAGGATTTATCGATGGTCCCCCTTACTGGTAAGTTTTTTTTACGTAGAACATAAATTGCTGTATTATAGTCAAAACGTGTGCTGTGTTGATGATATTAATAAAATTAACATATTCAAATTATTAAGACTTGTCTCTTAAGACTTGTTTACACGGGTAGAGTTGTGAGGACTGTAGAGTAGCAAGTAGAGTCCACTCTACTCGCTACTCTACCAAAAATGGCTCGATACCGTTCACACGAGGAGAGTTACAAGTATAGTACTGATGCTAGTATAATGTGGAGTGGGTGTTTGTTTAGTGCAAAATGAATTCAGAAAAAGAAAATTGATTCAAAATTGTTTAGCTATAGTTGTAAATGCATTTGTATCTGAAGTCACTGAGCTATCGATGATGAAGTAAACAAACAAAGAAAGGAGTGGATAAGAGAGTGGCTTAAAAGAAGGAATATACACGGGGCCTCAGCTCTTCTGCAAAGAGTACTAGCATTAGAGGATGAGTTGGAATATAAGATGTGTCTAAGGATGACCCCAGGTAAATTCGAATTCGAAACACTGATTTTGGATAGATTTTCCAATGAATTTATTGTTTTTTACTGTAAATAAAGAGTTTTAAAGAAACAGAAAATAACGACAGAATTCAGAAACAAATTCAATTACATGATTTTTACATAACACAGCTTCCAGATGCAACAGAAATCGTCAAAAAAGTATATAATATGATTACAATAGATTATATACATATAAGATCATCCAGAAACATTTTAATATGACAAAACTATCCACGCAAATTGAAGCCATAACGAACATCATGTATATTGCCCCACGTTGGGCACCAAGTTGTAACGATTTGGTCGCCATTTTGTAACGAACCTGTTGCATCTTTGCAATAAATTGCATCGATGTTATATATTTAAAGCACAAGAATGCACAGAGAACGGTTTGTTTTGTTAAGATACTAGTAAAGATTAGAAAGCTAAAAAATGCATATTTTCCAAAAACATTCTCAGCTCCTTTATTAATTACGAACATGAAATATTTTATCTTTAAAGTAACCTAAAAGAAGGGCGCTAGTGGTTGTTCAGAGGAAGCCTCAGGTAACGTCTCAAGAAAGGTGTCCGATGATGGATACTAATTCTTAGGATTGGCACGTCTGAATCAAAAAAGTCCAACGGGATTACTTAAAGAAAGGCCCGTACAAGACAATTAACCACTTAAAAAAGTAAAAAAATTAATTTTCACGTGCAAAAATTGGTAAAAAATCGATTTTTTAAAACTTTTTACTTCAAATTTCCGCCATTTTGTTTTTTTTTTTATTTTAATTTTCGATTAAAAGTGGTTGATTGTCTTGCAATATTACTTCCTTTCGTTCGCCTTCAGACATCTTTTTTGAGATGTTAACTTCGCCCTCTCGAAAACAGGCTATTTATGAGAACTAAAAACAGGAATTTTTTGTTCAACTTAAAGATCAAATGATATTTAAAAAAAATCATGTTGGTATCTTATAAATACCTGAGAATTTTTTTTTTATTTTTTTTTTTAAAATATGCATTTTTTTCAACCTTCTAATCTGCAACTAGTACCTTAAATTACATCCTTTCTGCTGAGTTTAGACGACTTAACATTAACTAGGATTTCTTTTCATACTTAAAGATTTTGATTTTGTATTTTAATTCGAGAGCTATACAATAGGCTGAGAGATATGTTATTTTTAGGTACACAAATGAAGAAATTTACTAACAGTTTCGGTAGCCTCGAAAAAGCAGTTATAAAAAGCGACGAAATCTTCGACACGGTTAAAAACTTCTTCCCCATAATGGACACCGAGCCGAGCGTAGCTGACACATCATCGAATAGAAAACTTCCGAAAACCGACAAATTTTCCCGAACGGAATTGTTGCTGTCAGGTTGGCAGATGGTCGAAGAGAATTTCCCTCTTCCGATTAAAGGATTAATGGAACGAAAGTATCAGGGGTACGTTTTAACCAAAGAAAAGTACAAAGATGTTACGCCGTTCAGTCCTATGTTTGCCGTTGATTGTGAAATGTGTCGGACCTCCACAGGTGGGTGTGTTAAGCATTATTATAATAGATGTAATGTGATCATTATATGTTTGTGTCCTCAGGTAATGTAGAGATGAGTTCCATATGGGAAATAGCGAGTAGTCTCTTTCTATTTATATTCTCAGGATGCATTCGCATTCCAATCGCTTTTTTCTGTCGTAAAATTAGGAATTTTGGAAAGGATGTGTGGTTTTTATATAATTTTGGTATTTTTTCGCATACTGCAGTTTTAAAACCATACATTATTTGCAAAAATGCTTTTTTTATTTAGAAACAAATTGTGAAGCAATTGAAATGCGAAAGCATCCTAACAATATAAACAGAGAAAGACTACTTTTAATTTCACATCTGGAACACATCTCAGCATGAGTAACAGCAACTCACATCACCTGAAGGTTGACGAAAATGGTCGAAAACCCGAATTATCGGCTACTTAGCCGGTACGGCGTGATTTTATCGAATTCGAATTTCACTTCTGGGTACGTTGGGTATAATTGCGTTACCATGTCCTATTTCTGAAGGACTGTTAATTCTAACGAAATTTTGAGTACTTTACTAATATACAGGTCATTTAGATGACGATTAGTTCATAATTCTGATTCTTGGCCGAGAAATCATCCCATTTTCTATGTTTTTGTGGTTTTTATACTTACTGATCGACCTATGTTGGTAAAATTATTTTTTTATACCCTTTTAACCACATTTTCCTCTTACTTTGTTATTTTTTTCGACTGCATTTCTCTTAGTTTCTCTTGAGTCGTTCTACAATTATTTTCGTGTGATATTAATATAATAACTACTGTATTTACTGTGAATATTTCTCAATTAAAAAAAATTAATCAAAAATGCGTTTATATTGACGTTTTGATTTCTACTTCGAAAATTATAATTAATTCACAATAAATATAATAGTTTCTATTTTAACATATAACCTTTTAACTGTGACCCACACTAGGATCTGCATATTCCAGCAAAATATTGATCTATTTGAACTGGTCTCATTGTAAATTATTCTTTGTTATTAAAAACTTGTTGTTCTTACACTTGCTTTAGATGACGAACGTCCTCATGACGTAAAAACCGTCAATACTCCTTCTTCTTAGAGTGCCGTCTCCCTACGGAGGTTGGCAATCATAATGGCTATTCTTATTTTAGAACTTGCTACTCCAGAAATCGTCAAACAATACATAAGAATATCATTATAGACTGTAGAATTAAATTTTTTGAGGTAGAGGCCCTAAAAATCTTAATTATGCGTGCACATAACATGATCCACGGTCATTTGAATATGACAAAGCTATCTGCGCAATAGAAACTTTAACTAGAATGTCAAGTAGAGAGCCCCACGTTAAGCACCAATTTACAACGATTTGGACGCCATTTTGTACCGAATTAAAATAACTGACAGCGTATATTATGTGCTTATTTACAATGAATATATAGAATAGCTCTTGTTTAACATAGTTTCCACTGATTTTAGGTGACTTAGAGTTGACTAGGATTTCTTGTGTGAACGAAAAGCTAGAAGTATTTTACGACACTTTGGTCAAGCCCGACAACGAAATAGTCGATTACTTAACGAAATGGTCCGGTATAAATAAGAGTATGATGAAAAACGTGTCCAAAAAACTAAAAGACGTCCAAGAAGATCTACAAAAAGCGTTACCGCAGGATGCAATTCTAATAGGACAGTCGTTGGCCAATGATTTACACGCTCTTAAAATGATGCACCCCTATATTATAGACACAAGGTAAGAAACCGATTGTTTGTTTATATAAATACAACATTAACAGCTGCGATGCGTTTCAGCTTCATGTCATATGTCACATCTCACGTAAAAACGTCATAGATTGTGTCAAATGACACGTTTTATGCTGCCTCTTATGTAAATGTCACTTTTAACGTCGAACGTGACATATGAAATGTCACTTCTTCTGCGTTAAGGTCTTGCTTTTGTAACAATAAAACACTGAAAACTTGGTTTTCAAACTTCCACAAAATTTATTTTAACTTCTTATCACTACAGCTGTTTCGGCTGATTGCCCTTCTCAAGTGATCTATTTTTGGCATGCGTTTACACTTTATAGTCTCTAATGAAATTAGGTTGAGGAAGGGAGAACTGTTTGTCACAAGTTGGTCATTCAGAATTATATCTCTGTTTTTTAATTTGTTCGTTTCCATAGATTTTAACAAGGCTAGCTTAAGGCCTTTATTTTGAAGAATTTTAAATTCGTCATTAAAAGAGTGAGTGTGATCTAGAAGGTGAGGTGCGTTTTCCCTTTTATGTTCTGCTATTCGTTTATTAAAGTTTCTACCAGTTTGACCGATGTAAGTTTTTGGGCAGTCGCCACTTTCGTTCAGTCTTGCTTTTGCTTCTTTAGACTGCTCCTGATGGTTTCTTCATGAAGCTCTTTCTCGGGGACGCGGGTGAGGACCATGAAGCGCTTGGGCATATTATCTGGATCAATTATAGTTAAGTTTGCTTCTTTCCATAAGCTCTCAATAGTGTTCACCACTTCAGTCGTCCATTTTTTTGTATACTTGTCAACACAGTTCACCCACAGGGTCCTTTCGTTAAACGACATTTTATGGAACTGCAGAAGTTCACTTTGACTTCCGATAAGAGCCTCATTAAGTGCTTGCTCCAGTTTATTAATGATCAAATTTGCTTGAGTCCGATCTAGTTGAGTATCAAGATGGCGTCTGTGTGCTACCATTATTCTGAATACTTTTGTCACGGTGCTTTATGACCTAGTCTGCTCGTTAGATCCCTTGGTTTCTTAGCAACTCTGTTACGAGGGGAGTGATGGTATTCTCCCGAAATCTCTTTTTATCCTGTTGTTCATTTGTTTTCTTGGGATTTGCCATGTCTCAGCAGCCGTTTTTGCCTTTTTTCCCATCTTCCTTTATTGAGCTCTAGAGAGGCTATTTGAGACTTAGTTATTTACTTTTTTAATTAAAAAATTCGAAAATATACTTCACAATTTCGAATTTTTAAATTGTCAAATATAATTCTTTGGTGTATGTGCTAAAAAGCAATTCTAGCGTACTAACAAGATCAGAAATTGTTTTTTGATCGAAACACCCTATAATTTTTTGGGCTTTCTCTTCCAATGATTGAGTTTTAATTAATTTTATTTATAGTTTATAAGAAGAGAGTTTTAATTATATTATTTGTAGATTTTTACATATTTAAACTTGAATATTTTTTTTTATTTATTTACTAAAAAATTTATTTATTAAAAGTTCAAATAATATTTTATTTTCTTTAAACAATTTTATAAAACGTATAAATTTAAAGCCATTCTATGACCACGCGGCATCTACATATAAAAATATCTAAAGTCGCATTTGTTGCCCCACTCTTTCATATTTTAGAAGCAGTAATAGGGCTGACATGACCGCTCCCTAGAGGACAAATAAGGAACTAAAATCTTGATCAGCGTCTGATTAATTTGTGTGTCCTTTGCTGACGCTAAAACATGACAATCAAAGATTCTTTATGTGTCTGTATTCTTTGCTTATGTTTTCACGTAATACTTGAAATTTGCCATGAGATATGTCATAAAACGTTTCGAGCCGTTAGGAAAAAACTAAAATAAAAAAATTAACCAGAATGAACCTTAGCACACACACATCCCATGTCTTATCTACTTGTTGCGCTTTTTAATCTGCACTTAATATGTATTTTATAAAAATCTTTTTGTGTTTTAGTGTAATTTACAACCTGGTGGGAGACAGAACAAGAAAAACGAAACTTCAAACCTTGGCCCGTCAATATCTAAAGGAAGACATTCAAGTTAGTCGCAAAGGTCATTGTTCGTCAGAAGATAGTTTAGCCTGTATGAAATTGGTCCAGTTGCGGTTGAGGAAACACTTATTTTTCGGAGACGCCGTCATGGGCGGTGTAAAGAACGACATCAGGACGTACCCGGAAATGGGTACCGCTCAGTACGCCACGAGCATGCTGCGACAGTCGGTGAAAGTTGGCAAAACTGCAAACGTAGTAGGCGTGGACGAGCTCGGTTCGAAGTATAAATTTTACGTGGACAAAGGAGAAAATGTGGAAGTGAATAATATTAATTGCGTGTCGGGGAAGTCGAATAAAGACGTCGTCCAGCTGTTCTGTGATTCAATCAAGAACTATTCGTTGAATATTGCTCATTTACGAATAGCCGATAATCAATTGGAGGGGAATAATTGTAAGATATTTAAAAATGTGGATAAATGGATTAAGGAGATACATGAACAGAGCGTCTCGCCGAGTTTGGTGATTGTATTGTTTGCCGGACAGAAGGAAGCCAACGGTGTCTGTTTTCTACACGTTAAGAAAGGACTTGTATAAAGTTCCTCGACACCTTTTGCACCGTTATACAATTGTAAATAATTATTCTTTTTGTTTTTATATATTATTTTTCAATCGATTGATTTTTCATGGATTTTTCCTGAATACATTTACAATAAACACCATTATTTTTCCAATTGTTGTTTATTATATTAAAACCCTGTTCAGATTGATAATGTAGGTCAGCATTGGATACTAAAATGAAATTTACAATACAGGTCGTCTGTCTAGTGGCTAAAATCACAAAGAAAGCCCTACATACAAAGATACAGAACAAGACAAGAACAAGAAAATTATAAGAGACAAAGAACAAAAGTTAAATAGATAGTTAAGAAAGAAAAAAAGAAACGCTAGGAAAAATTCGGAGAAAAAATAAAAGGAAACAGCACAGAAAACGTAAAATTATGTTATAGAACACCGAAAAACCTAAGAAGAAACAAAGAAACGAAACTGAAACAAATAATGAACAAGGAAGGAACAATAATAAACGACGATAAGACAATAATGGAAAGATGGAGGGAACATTTACAGCTGATACTAAATGGAAATCAAGCGAAACAATGGAGAAGGAAAGCCACATCAAGAGAGTATCCATGAGGAACACGGAAAATGCAGAAACTATAGAAAAAGAAAAACTGGAAGAAGCAGTAAGAAAGATAAAGATTGGAATTATACATATACAGTATGATGCAAATGTATGGAACAAATTCATTATTTCGACGATTATAATGACGTAATCGACGATTTTTTTAAATACAAACTGAGGTCACGCGACAGCTCATTTGAAAGGTCCTCTTATCGCCTTTACAACGATATAATAATTTGAATATTTCTACAGGGTTAACCAAAACGGTTGGTTTATTAATACAATTAACTTTACAACAAATGTTCAAATTGACGACATTCAGCAATAATACAATGTGAAAGATGGGCAATAAATTCTTTCATAACGTTTTCGATGACATCATTTGTGCAATTTCCGCTTTGATGCGCTCCTTCAACTCTTCTACATTATTCGGTCGATTTTGATACACTCTGCTCTTTAAATATCCCCACAAAAAAATCTAACGAAGTCAAATCTGGAGACCTTGGTGGCCATTTCATGGACCCCTTCTTGGACACCTACCTGGGAAAACGTTATTATAGTAATTTTATACCTCAACACCGTAGTGTGGGGGAGCCCCATCATGTTGGTACCACAAATTATTTCTATGTGGAAATAGCTGTGGCAATAGATTATCCTGAAGAAATTCTAAATAACCAGAAGCAGTTAAGTTTTACTCAAAAAAATATGGCCCTGCAATTTAATTGTTTATAATGCCGGCCCAAACATTTACCTTCTCGGGATATTGTGTCCTATACCCTTCCATCCAATGTGAATTTTTTCTTGCCCAGTATCGACATGTCTGATGATTTACGTGACCGTTCAGCATAAAAGACGCTTCATCAGAAAAACCTATCTTTTGTATTAAACCCTGATGTCTGTTTTCATAACGGTTTTGCAGAATTCGATTCTTCTATCAAAGTAATCTTCTAATAGCTCCTGGACCAGATGTACTTTGTATGGATGTCACTTCTTATTTTTTATCACTCTTACAACAGTTAATTGGTGGACATTATTATCTAGTACTACCTACCTAGAAGTAGTATGGAGATCTTCTTGAAGTGCCAGTACAACGTCCAGTTTCTTGGCTTTAAATATTGATTTTCTACCACTTCTGGGAAGATCTTTAACATGAACCGTTTCTCTATTTTTTTTTTTAATTTTGCTTACTGTTGATTGAGTTATTGGTTCACGATTGGGGTATTTAGCATTGAGTCTGCTAAACAAGTCCTCACTCTATCTCCATAACCAATCATGATTAAAATCTGGATTCGTTATGTTTATGTTAGTTTCATATTTGTAAATGCTTTTATTAATGTCGGCAAAAAACTCGAAGAGTAAAAATTTGACGTCTATTATTTGACAGATTCACAGATAATTGAGCATTTTTGTTATCAATGTATGTTTTTCTCGGAACTAGCAAAAAACGCTATTTTGTTTTATTCTTAGTGGCGTTCCTGAGTGTATTTTAGTTCAGTGAATGAATATTTATTGTAACTCCATATTACGTAACAAAGTTCATAAACTTGGTGAACCCTGTAGAAATAAATATTCAAATGATTATATCGTTGCAAAGGCGATAAGGAAACCTTTCAAATGAGCCGTCTCGTGACGTTGCTTTGTATTTTAAAAACTTGTTGATTACGTCATTACGCCTACACTGATGACGTAGTGTTTAACACATATATAGCAGTTGATGGCTAATCAAAAATTAAAATTGACGTGTTTTAAGATTTTTTTAAAGTAGTCTCTTTCTGAAATAATGAATTTATCATTCATACATTTGCATCATAGTGTATAACCTAATACTGAAGAGAAAAGTAATACCCAGAGAAGGGAGAAATGCAGTAATTATACCTATATATAAGAAATGAAACACAAGAGACTAGACAAGAACTATATGAGGTATATCAGTGCTATATGTAGCAGCAAAAGTATACGAAACCATAATAGAAAGGAAAATCAGAAAAGAAATAGAACATAAATTAGAGGACGTACAGTGGATTCAGGAAAGGACACAAGACCACAACAGAAAAAGTCTTAAAGAAGAATAGAGAAATATATCTGAGCTTTATAGACCTGGAAAAAGCATTCGACTCAGTCAAAAGAAAAGATATATGGGAAAGCCTAAAGAAGAAGCAAGTAAGTGAAAAACTGATAGAAGCAACAAAGAGGATATGCATGAAAACAACAAATACTGTAAAAATGTTAAATATATAGTCAGAACCATTTGAAATAACTCAAGGAGTTAGACAATGGGGAAGTCTCAGCCTAGTGCTATTCATAAATGTAATAGATGAGATAGTAAAATAATGTAAGAAAAAATTCAAGAAATACTGAATCGGTTGGAACAGAATGCAAATGATAAACGCTAAGATGTGTATATTTACAGACGACATAGCATTAATTGTGGAAACAGCAAAAAAACTCAAATATAACTTAAAGAAATAGAACCTAGAAGCAAGCAAATACAACTTAAACGTAAACAAAGAGAAGACTCAGATAATGAAAATATCAAGGAACGGAAGATCAAATAGAAGTAACGATAGACCAACAAAAAATAATTCAGACAAATTCATACAAATACTTAGGAACAGTAATCAACAACAAAGGAGACATCGAGGACGATCTTAACAGAATGAAAAATTATTGCAAACACTAAGGATTACTTAATAACAAATAAATATCAACAAAGACCAAGACGACAATATACAATACAATATATAGACCCTCAGTGACATATGGAGCAGAAAATTGGATATTAAGCAAGAGACATCAGAGCAGAATTCAGGCAGCAGAGATGAAATACCTCAGAAGAACGATCGGAGTAAAAAGAACTGAGAGAACGAGAAATGAAGAAATAAGAAAAAAAAAGGTACAAATGGGTTTACTGATTAAGTAAGTAAGTAAAGATAAATGCTCCGTTGCCCCATCCGAAACTGAATGAGCTTTTATTAATACTTGGGTCGTCACTCTCTTAAACCAAATCTTCAGATCAATCACAAATTCTGAAGATGACCCTACACGAAAATCGAAACCTTGACGTTCAGTTTGATCACACCCAGGAACTAAGTAAATTTTTGTAAGAATTATCAGTCCTTTCTTAGTCTTTATTTTTTCTATTGTCTCCTCTAGTTGTTCTTCCCGTATAGCTTCTGTTTCCTCAGTGTTTTGTTTTAATCCGCCAATTATGTTGTTCATTTTCGTTTGCTTTTCCTTTTTTTTCTTGCTCGTCTTCCAACAGTTCCGTTAACAATATTGTTCCGTTTTTGGTCATTATTTGACTTGATTTCTTTGTTACTTCGTAAGTTTTTGTATGTGCTATAAAACAATTTTACATTTTCTTTAAAAACAATTTTATATTTTTTTTCTCTTTGTCCTTGTCCCAGCTTTTCTTTGACTCATTTTTGACTATTCTTTTTCTTTTATTCTTTGTATGTATTCTATTTTGTATGTGTTCTTTGCAGTATTGAATCGGTTAGATCTGAAAGGATAACATTCCATTTTTTGGCAAATTTATTTAAAACAGCAGTTTTGTTCACTTTACCAAGCTCCACAGACTTAGTCAAAGACAGATAACATTCCATCACATTAAATAGCTCATATTAAGCTAGTTTTCCTGTAGTGAAATCTAAAAGAATTATAACTTTATATATTCTTGATTCTTTTTTGTTTTCTATTTTCTACTTTTTTTACTTTTCATTTGTCACTTGACCATATTAACTTCTCTCCAAAAGTATTACATGAGCTTTAAGGTTATGTTTTGTATTGTATGTTGTATAAAGTGAGTTTAGTTTGTTCTTATAATTAGATAATTATTTAATGGCTTATGATGTCTAATATTAATAACTCTAATAGTCTCCTGTGAAAAGAAGAGGTAGTGGGGTAACAAAATTAAAGGAAAAGAAAGCAAGAAGGGATGGATCAGACGTCACTTCCAAAGGTGTTTTGGTTGAAGAAAAGAAGATTGGGCTTGACTGTTTATGTAAGAAAAAATGCACAGATTTATTTTCGCCTGAAGAAAAGCACGTATTATTAAACTTGTATACAAATGGTCAACAAGAATGAGTCAGACACTTTTTTGGTGGGCCTTATCAGCAGATCCGATGTGACTAGACATAGGCCTAAAATGAAAACTCTAAACTAATACAATTATTTCTAAGTATTTTTCATTACATAACAAAACAACCCAAAAGTGGAAGTTTGGTCTCTAAGTACCTTTTTTGCTGTAATAAAACAAAATGTTTAATATTTTCAAAAAGAAATATCGAAAATAAACTGAACCTAATGCTTGAAAACACTACAATCAGTCTACACTACAATTTTACTGCCAAAAGAAACCGGTTAGTTTTCAAATTTAAAATCAACTACCAAATTGCCGGCACAACGCGCGAAACGAGATCTCTGTAATAAAACCTACTTTATCACAGCAAAGAGGGCATAAATGGCGGCTAGATCGGTCACTCGGTGCCGAAGTGATTTCCGAATATAATATTGATGCTCGTTTGTTTTTACAACGATTACTTGTATGTT